TTGTATGTGGTGCTAAGGATCGAACCCGGGCCACGTGCACGCCAGGTGAGCGTGCTAACGCTTGAGCCACATCCCCAGCCCTTGATGGACATTTTTGTCAGTACATATAATTCTATTTGACACGGCAAGTGTTTATAGAAACATTATTCACAATTGCCACAAGGTAAAATAACATAAATATCCATCATCTGATGGGTAGATGAACAAAGTACACGTTCTCAAATAAAATATTATGCACCCACATAAAGGAATGAGAAGTACCAGTACATGCTACAAAACAAATTAAACTTAGAGACATTAAGTGAGATAACAGATACAAAAAGTCACATGTTGTATGATTTCATTTGTATGACATATTCAGAATAGGCAATCCATAAAGACTGAAAATAGATTAGTTGGTGGCCAGAGGCTAGGAAAGGGGAAACTGGAAAATGACTGCCAAAGAATACAGGATGATGGAAATGTTCTAGAATTAGATTATGGGGATGGTTGTATAACTTTACAAATATACTAAAAACCTTTAGTAGAAGGACTTCTAAGTTACGTGAGTAAAATTATTTTAAAAGTTATGCACTGTTATACCAGTAACTTACATCCATTTGTGACTTGTCTTAATTTTTTATTCCAAAGATATTCTTGTACAAGAGAGAATGTCTGCTTCGTTTCCTTAATTTTGGAATAATGTAAGAAACACTTGTAGAGACTTGACTTTGGGTCGGATACTATTCTGGGTATAGACATGTAAAGTGCTTTACATGAGCATGAACTCTATTGGGTAGGAGAAGCTGCTATTTATACGTCTGGACCAGTAGTCCCTGGTGTTTGCCATCTGAGTTCTGAAGAGCTGGTCTCAGCATTAGGATGGTGAGCAGTAGTAGTGGGGGAGGAGAGTGGAGAGGGGACAGGGCACTGGGTTTAAAAGAATCAATCCAAAGAACATTCAGAACTTTTTATAAACAATCACCCAGAACCAGCAAGAAGAGAACAAAGTGAAGTTAAAAAAGTAGGAACCAGTCGTGCACTAGGATTAGTAAAGAAATCAGGGTGGACTCTCAAAAAGAGATGACAGTGTTTAGTGTTCCATGAAGATGGTGCTACAGTGACTGATCCCAAGGAAACAAGGCAGATTTAATTGAGGTCCACATCAAGAGTGCTTGGGCATGCACATGAAACCAGACTGGGGCTGAGATATGTGAGGTGAGAAATAGATCTGGACGGAGTACATAATGATGACAGCTTTGATTTCCAAGCCTGGCAGTTTTCTGGGTTCTGGTGGAGAACAGTACCTAGGAGGAACAAAGGCAGGTTGTAGTGGTCTGGAATAGTACTCAAGAGTTAGAGATCCAGTGCATAGGGCAAACAATGAAGACAGCAAAACGTAGCAGGACCCAGGTGTGGATCATGGACAAGAAATCATCATTTTTTAAAAATTAGTTACTATTAGCAAACATTCTACCATTTAATTATACCCCAGGCCACAGGCAAAGGTTTCTGAGAAAACATGTAACCCCATTGGCAGTACCAGCACTGTTGGCCCCTGGGGCCAGAATATCAAGCAGCGGTAAGCAGAAAAGCAACACAGGACTCAGGGATCAGTCCAGGGCTAACAACGTAGAGTCTGCTCCCTAAGTGCTTGCTGGAACTCAGGTGAATCTCTGAATTGTATAATACATACTTAAGAGACAGCAGGACAATATGGGAGAAAGCTTAAGGTGAGCCTAGCAGGCTTTTTCAAAAGTGTCACACTGTAGAAGCAGAGCAGAAACCAAATATTAGCAGGTAGGACAAGGACTAGAGCTGTCTAGCTGGAGTTATTGTATTAAGAACAGAGAGGGGAGACACCCTGGAGAAACTCCACAGATCTACTAAGGCAGGTCTAAGTGTGACTTTGAGGCTGGGGTGGTAGTTCAACAGTAGATTACCTGATCAGCCTACATAAGGACCTGGGTTCAATTCCCAGCACTGCAAAAACAAACACGCAAACAAAAACACCAGGTGAGGTTACTGATAGAAGAACCACCACCCAAGTTGAGACTGCTTACCTGGTTCCCTGCCTCTAGAAGTGGCTCAAGAGTTAGGGTCACAGGAAGTTGCAATGGGCCCCAGGTGTTGCTGTGGGCAGAAGCAGATCTAAGGATAACTCTAATAAAGACTTTATCTTCCCAGATTTCCCACTCTTAAGTGAAGTTTATTTTTTACTATTACTTACCAACCACAACAGTTGATTTAGGCCAAAGTATAATTATCTGTTAATTAGTCATGTGAATATTAGAAAGAAAATGATAGGTTGTCTTTTTCTGTTGTTAAAAAAAAAAAATCAAAGATGCTTTTTGAGCCCTCCAGCAGTGAGGCATTTTCATATAAGCAGCTCTTCATTCTTTCCTTTTTTTGGTGTTAGGGACTGAACTCAGGGCCGCATGCATGCTATGCAAGGACTTTACCACTCAGCTACCTTCAGATGTTAGTTTTATTTGTACTTTCAAGCCCCTGAGATTTTGAGGTGATTATTACAGCAGTGTAATTTATCTTAACCTGACATATAAAAGAAAAGAGCTGAAGATCAGGATAGGGTTTATAGAAAATCTCAGAATGATGAAGACACTCAAACAGTAGAGACTACAGAAAAGGAAATTCCAGTGAGGGGTTGGGGGTATAGAGTTGCAGAGCTGTACAAGCCTAGCCCTGTGGCCTGTTGTAGCTGGTGTACAGGACACAGAGAAGAGAAGGAATGGAAAGAGACAAAACAGATGAAGACAGGTGCCAGATTGTGACAAATTTTAAAAACCTCATATGAAGGTAACAGGAAATGAGGAGCCAACAAAGTTTCTGTAGAGGGATTTATATATTTTTTTAAATTTATTTTTGGTACTAGGAATTGAACCCAGAGGAGTTTTACCACTGAGTCACATCCCTAGTCCTTTTTATATTCTGAGACAGGATCTCATTAAGTTGCTTGGTAAGTTGCTGAGGCTGGTAGTGAACTTGTGATCCTCCTGCCTCAGCCTCCCGAGCCACTGGGAATACAGGCATATACTACTACCACAATTGGCTATTTTTTATATTAAAAAAAAAAAAACAATTGAAGCCAGGCACAGTAGTACACACCTGAAATCCCAGTGGCTGGGGAGGCTGAGGCAGGAGGATGGCAAGTTCAAAGTCAGCCTCAGCAACGTAGTGAGGCCCTAAGCAACTTAACAAGACTCTATCTCAAAATAAAATATAAAAAGGATTGGGGATATGGCTCAGTGCTAAGTGCCCCTGGGTTCAATCCCTAGTATTTAAAAAATAAACAAAAAACAAAACAACACAACATAAACAAAACAACAATAAAACAGAAACCAAAAAAACGAGTGCAGAATAGAGGAACAACAGAATGGGAGAAAGATCAGAAGCTTAGGTATCAGTTAAGAGGCAAGAACAAGTTGAGAATATAGTGATAAAGGCTAAAATCAAAGACTGATAAACTTTTTCTGTAGAGTATGAAAGATTCTATAATTCCTTCATTTTTTTTTTTCCTTTTAGTACTGGGGATTGAACCTAGGGGCACTCTGCCACTGAGCTATATCCCAAGAGCTCCCCTGCCAACCTTTTTTTTTTTTTAAATTTTGAGAGACAGGGTCTTGCTAAATTGCTCAGGCTGGCCTGGAACTTGTAACCCTCCTGCTCCAGCCTTCTGAGTAGTTGGAATTACAGGCATGCACCACCACATCCGGCAAGACACACCTAATGACTTCACCTTCTGGATTCTATATAGTTCACACTTATACCTCTGGAATGAGTCATTACCACCTTCTTAACCATTATATTATAGGGCTCTTTTCCAGGCTATATTTTAACTCTTCACTGGTTTGGGGGAGACTTTGACTGACACACTTAGAATAGACACTTGGTGCAGGCAGATTTGTTTGTGCATCCACTCCTTGTGTATTCTATCCCTTCACTTTCAAATGACTCCCATTTTCTGACCTTCCTTAGAAGGTCAAGAAAATAGGACAAGTCCACTAAGTCCTATTTTTCCCAGGATCTTACTATGTGGATATATGAGGTTTTTTTACTGGCATATGATTTTTAGTCACTGTTGAAGCAGGAAATGCCTTCATGAAGAATTCATCAGTTTCCAGAGTCAAAACATGTGACAGGGCAAACTGTGGATCAGGACTGCTGGGCTCCAATTTTGGACACATGAATTTCACAAATAAGCAAAGTCTACTATGAGAGCTAAGTGCAGGATTGTGCTAGAAGTAAGCAAATGATGAGAATCAAGCACAAGAGCAGCCCAGTTGGGGAAGAGAATGGGTTATTGGCAGTAATGGAGTAGTGTAAAAGGAATCAGGAACACTTAGTGGGTGGTTCTCCAACTATTCCATTATCAGGATCCCTACCTGGATGTTCTTACAAATGCAGGTGGTTGGTCCCATCCTCAGCCATTCGGATCCAGTTGATTTAGGAGTGTTCAAGAACTTTGAATATCTAACATGTGACCACCCCCACCCTCCCTGAGGATGACTGCACTGGAAGTGGCCCTAACTCACACCTTCCCCATGAAATGGTTCAGAGGCAGGTGTCTACAGTTTTCTTTTTCTTTTTTTTTGCAGTGCAAGGATTGAACCCAAGGCTTCCCTCATGCTATTACTGAGCTACACTGTAGCCCTTTTCCTCTGCAGACAGGGTCTTGCCAAATTGTCAAGGCTAGCCTTGTGAACCTGCCATTCTCCTGCCTCAGCCTCCTGAGTAGCTGGCATACAAGTGTAATGTATTTGTTATGTATCAGTCTTTACTTATTTGCTTTGTTAAGAAACAAAAAATAGCCCCATACTACATGTACATAATTTAGAAAAGGATAAATACATGTGTCAAATCCTTTTTTCATTAAAAACATATCATAAGCTGGTTGTGGTGGTATGCTTATAATCCTGGTGACCCAGGTAACAGAGGGAAGAGGATCACAAGTTAGGGGCCAGTCTGGCCAGTTTAGCACAAGTTAAGGGCCAGTCTGGCCAATTTAGCCAGACACTGTCTCAAAGTAAAAAGTAAAAAAGAGTTGGGGATGTAGCTCATTAATAGAACATCCTTGGATTCAATCCCCACCCCCCCCAAAAAATTAAATTAAAAAAAAAAACCAAATAAATAAAATAAAATCACAAATTAAATGGGCAAAAGTCCAAGGCTCTTGAAACCATGAAATCCTATTTTGGAATGCTTATAACAACTCATATTCTCTGTGATAACCTCATTTATCATTGACTATTGTTAAAAATATTTTTCTACCAATTTGAGAGGCAAATATTCCCTTTTAATTCATATTGATTTGATTCCTAGTGATAAAAGTGTTCTTTCACACACTAATTTCAGTTCATCTTTTGTAAGTCCTCTTTAGCCATTCTGTCTATAGGCTTTTCTGGACTTTGTGTATACTGTAACATGGCTTCTAACCCTATTCCTCCATTGACAGATAATTTCTGGGGCCATACTACACACATCATGCGATGTCTCTGTTGTGACAACACTGCTCCTTTGACCAACATAGCCTCTTCCGTCACCTTTGTTCTTTTGCACAGACTTCTTCTCTGGGAACCCCTCCAGTATCATTACTGCTCAGGGCTTGTCCCATGGCCTAATGGCCTCTATCTCACACCCATTTCCCTCTTACCCTCTGTCTCCTCACGTGGTATTAACTAACTGCCACCTAGAGGCTGATGATCTTGATCTTCAAATTGAAATAAAATTCTCCCCTGAATTTTACTGGATGAAACAGGCTTCTTAAACTCTGTATCTAAAATTGAAACCTAGAATTGAGCTAATAATAGCTCAGGGGTAAGATGCATGTTCAAGGGCCTGGGTTCAATCACCAACACCTAAATAAATTAATTAATAAATAAAAACTGAACCCTTCATCTCTCCCAACCTCAATCTCTTCTCCTCTTATATACTTGAGCTCAGTTAATAGAACATCATGCACTGGGTTTCCAGCCCCACCCTAGGAGTAACCCTAGATTTCCTATTTCCCTCTTCCCATATTTACGTAGTTACCAAATCCTGATAATTTCATTTTCAGGGTATTTCATGGCTCTTGTTCAGGTTGTTCTCATCTCTCCTGTACATTCCCTCTCCATCCCCCTACTTCCTTTAAATGTTCATTTGTTCACTAAATATTTACTGAGTTCCTGTGAAGAAGACAGAAAAGAATTCTGCCTTAAGGAGTCTACACTGCAGTAGAGTGATCTAGAGAATACAAAAAGTAAGCAAATGCAAAGGACCTGTGGCAGGAAACAAAGGAGACCCTACTGCAGCCAGGGCAAACCACCTAACACTGATTATGTGGTGGGTGGCAGAAGGTGAATTGAAGAAGTGAGCAGGGGTAGATCCTATAGGGAATTCAAACCTTAGTATGAATTTGAGTTATAACCTGGAAGAGCATTGAGGAGAGCCATTAAAGGGCTTAAAGCAGAAGAATGATAATGTTTCTCTGAACAATAGCTGTATGAAGAAAATATATCAAAATATACCAATGTTTACCTCTGGATGACTGAGTGGTAGGGTTATATGTGATTTTTATTTTTTCTTCATGCTTTTTAATATTTCCCAAGATTTCTGCAGTAAGCATGTATTACTCTTTTTCTTTCTTTCTTTCTTTTTATGGTGCTGAGTATTGAACCAAGGGCCTCACCCATGTTAGCTAGGAGATCTACCACTGAGTGACGTATTCAACCCAATGTATTAACTTTTTTGCTTTCGCAGGACTAAAAATTAAACTAGAGCCTTGCACATGCCATGCACGTACTCTTACCACTGAACTACATCTCAGCCTTTTTTATTTTATGTGGGGCAGGTTCTCACTTAGTTGCCCAGGCTGACTTCGAACTTGTGATCCTTCTGCTTCAGCCTCCCAAGTAACTGGGATTATAGGCATGTGACACCACACCTGATCCAATGCATAACTTTTATGCTTTTAAAAATATAGTTAAAAAGAAAATCTGGTTGAAATTAATATGAAGGGCCACAGAAAGGAGTAGAATTGATGGTGAGGCACTAAGATCACTAATTATGAGGAAATGTGGCAGTGGCCTGTAATGGTTTGGTGGTTGTCGGAATAGAGAAAGAGGTAGAGCTGCCAGATATCTAATGTGTAAAACTTATAGGATTTGGTAACTTATTAGCTAAAGGATGCAAGAGTGTAGGATGACCACTGGGTTTTGTAGGAAATCAAAGTATTTCTCCCCAAAATACTGAGGATTTTTGAGCTGAAGGAAGTTCAAAAACATCAAGTATCTGACTCTTTCTCTGCTTGATGTCAGGACAGATTCAGAGAAGAGTCTTTCTGCTTTCTTCCTACTTTCCCACCAAAGCCAGGTATGTAAACCCTACTTCACTAGAGACTGATGCAGATCAGCCTAGAGATGGGATCAGCAGACTATAGAATGCTGGGTGCAGATCTTCCCTCCTTCCCAGAATTCTCCTGCTTCAGAAACCTCTTGCTTCTTTGTTTTCTCATGGTGAAATTTACTGCTTTTCATTAAAATACTATTCATTTATTTACGGGAATGGGGACTGAACCCATGAGCACTTAACCACTAAGTCATACCCCCAGTCCTTTTTATTTTTTGAGACAGTATCTCACTAAGTTGCTTAGGGCCTTGCCAATTTACTGAGACTGGCTTTGAACTTGCAATCCTCTTGCTTTAGCCTCCCGAGATGCTGGGATTATAGTTATGCACCAACATGCCTGGCTGAACCTGTACTGGCTAAAAATTTAGACCGCTTAATAAAATTTTATTTTTCTCCTTTTCAGATTCATCTTGAATAATTAACTAGGTTGATGGAGACTCCATTTAACCCAATAGGGCACAGAGGCATCTCATAAGAGATGAGCTTGGCATCACAGAAAAGAGAGTGGCCAACAGCACCAAAGTCTCAGCCATAAGATCCACCCAGATATAATGCTGAGGAAGAGAAGTGGCAATTCTTTCAAGAAGCTCTTCTAAAAAGACAAACATCAGGGCAACAACCAGAGGAAATATAGGATTGAAGAAGTATTTTTTGGTTGAAGGAAATAAACCAGTAGAAGCCAAGTAGTTCAAAATACACTTACTTAAAGGGGTGGGTGAGAGCAAAAGCCCAAAGGTGGGATAAATTGGGATCATAAGCACAAATGAACAAAACAAGAAAAAGGACATCTCCTTTCTTCTGGGATGGAAGTAAGGATTGGGAAAGTAGAATAGATTCCTTCTGAGGCTCATAGCAGGAAGGGGAAAAAGTTTCTGCTTTGGGATTTTCTTCCCTCTATGAATTAGAAGGCCAGGTAATCTTCTGGGGATATGGGAAAGCAGTTGGAGACAAGCAGTCAAGATTTATAATAATCTAAGAATAGGAGAAGGGACCAGGTGTGGTGACACACACTTGTAATTCTAGACATTGGGGAGGTTGAGGCAGGATGATCTCAAGTTTGAGGCTAGCCTGGTAACTCAGAGAGACCCTGTCTTGTAGTAAAATTTTTAAAAAGGGTTTAAGATGTAGTTCAGTGGTAGAGTACTTGTATAGTATTCACTGGATTCAAAGGTGGGGGGGAGGGACAAGAGAGCCTGTATGAATGCCAAACAAAACCAGTTCAATGGCTCAATGTCCAGAGGTCCTGGGGTCCTACTATTGTTAAATCCTCTAGATTTCTAACAGCCCAATCTGTGTGTGCGTGTGCATGCGTGCGTGCGTATCTCCCTCCACTCCTTTTGCAGTGCTAGGTTATAAACCTAGGGCCTCATGTGTGCTATTCAAGCACTCTGCCATGCAGCTACACCACCAGCCTGCAATTTTTTTAAAGTACTTTATAAATTTGTGTGTCATCCTTGATCAGAGATGCTAATCCACTCTGAATTTTTCCAAGTTTTAGAGAATGTGTTGCTCAGGGAGCACTGGGAAAAAATGGAAGGTAGCTGTTTTTTTTTTTTTTTGGTGGTATGGTACTGGGGATTGAACCCATGACCTTGTGCATGCAACACAAAAGCACTCTACCAATTGAGCTATAGGCCTAGCCCTTGCAAGGTAATGTTTAAAAACACTCAGAAGAATTCAGGATGAAAACTGTAAAGCAAATTCAAGGCCTCAATGACTTAAGACCTTATGGTGACTGAAATTGGTAGAGAACACAGAGATGATTAGGTAACCAGATGGCATAGGCCTTTCTGAACCTTTCCAGGCCTCAGGGAGGTGGCAGAAATTGTGGTTAACCTTAGGGCATCTAGATGGAGTCCATTGAGGTCAAATCCTGGGCAAGCCAATTTAACTTCTCAGTACTTTATTTGAGGAATCAGTAAAATGAAGATACCAGTATAACATTTATCTCAAGGCCTGCTATATGTACCAGAGCATTACTTAAATGTCAGAATCATTATCATTTCTCATTTGAACAAGAGGAATTTTAAGAGTCTCTGAGGCAGAGATTCTCAAACAGTTTGGGCTCAGAATCCCTTTCCAGTTTTAAAAATGACCTCCTTTTATATATAAGTTGTTAATAGACCTTTATTTATATGTGGTGCTGAGAATCAAACCCAGTGCCGCACACATGCCAGGCAAGTGTGCTATCACTGAGCCACAGCCCCAGCCCTAAAAATGACCTCTTTTAAAAAAAATTTTTTGAAGTACTGGAAGATTCAACCCAGGGCATGTTAGGTAATTGCTCTACCACTAAGCTGTACCCCTAGCCATTTTAAATTTTTTGAGACAGGGTCTCAGGGCATGCTGGCTTGAAGTTGTGATCTTCCTGCCTCAGCCTCCCAAGTAGTTGAGATTACAGGCATGCATCACTAAGTCCAATTTACTAATATATTTTTTAAGAAAAATAACTACATTTTTTTAAAAAAAATAGAAGTGTGTTATTGTTTTTCCATTTTGCATATCTCTCTTGACTTTAATTAAACACAGGTGGGTCTTATCTGCTTCTGCATTCAATTGAGACATGTTCTTTGCTTGAAGTATGAAAATCCTAACACCTCACTAACCCTCTGAAACCACACTTGAGAACTCTTACTTTAAGGTTTCTCCCAGTTCTAAATCATTCAGTCATTTACTCACTTGTCAACACTTCTGGATCCTAGAGACTGGTGAATTCTGTGATTGCTGAAGGATCCTAATTGGAAAGAGAAAAACAAAAATGAACAAGCACAAATGAGGAAGTGTCAGGGTTACCTGTGAGCCTAAGGAGGCAGAGAAGGATTACTGAAGTAAAGGAAATTTGATCTTGAATTAGGGCGTGAATTTCCTGTGTTGCCTATAAGCAGAAGAGCAGTTGCAACAACCCAGAGACAGGAATCAATGTACAGGCAAAGGGTGCACTAGCACAAGAAGTCAGCAGCTAGAAAAGCATGTTGGGCCGTATATAGGAAGTTATATTGCATCCTATACCAGGAGCTTGGGGTGACAAGAGCTTGTTTTCTTTCTTTCTTTCTTTCTTTTTTTTGCATTAGTGGGGATTGAGTTTAGGGTTTAGGGCCTCATGCATGCTAGGCAAGAGCTTTCCCACTGAGTCACATCTGTGGCCCTTGTTTTTCTTTTTTAAAATCAGTTTGAGGCATAATTTACATAGAAGTAAAAAAGTCATCTTTTTGGGTGTACAAGTTTTGACAAACATTATCCAGTTATGTAAACAATACCACCACAAGATATAAAATACTTTCTCATCATCACAAAAAAAGTTCTTTCTACCCTACAGTCCTGCAGGCAATCATTGATCTGACTTCTATCCTTATAGCTTTTTACTTTGAAATAATTATACACTCACAGTAAGTTAGAGAATTCTCCCAATAGTAACATCTTACAAACTATAGAAAAACAAAAAACTGACAGTGATGCACTACTATCAGCTATACTACAGTGTTTACATGCATTTTCTCGTTTTAAAGAATACAACTGGGGAGGGGGGCAGGCAAGTGACAGGAGGTAGAGAATGAGACATGAGAATCTCAAGTTCAAAGCCAGAGTCAGAAATTTAGCAAGACCTTAAGCAACTTAGGGAGACCTGTTGCAAATTAAAAAGTAAAAGGGCTGGATCTATGGCTTAGTATTAAAGCATCCCTGGGTTCAATCCTTGGTACCAACAAAACAAAACAAAACAAACAGTTTGGCCAGGCAAGGACACATATTAGTCACAACTGTCAACAGAGGAAGAACTCAAGAAAGAGCAGGGAGAGAAAAGGAATAATGGAAAACACTTCTAGAGTGGAACGAAAATCAGTGGGTGGATGATTTGGTACAAGGGCTTAAATTAATTCTTTAAAAATTTTTTAAAATTTATATACGATAGCAGAATGCTTTACAATTCTTATTACATATAGAGAACAATTTTTCATATCTCTGGTTGTATACATAATATATTCACACCAATTCTTGTCTTCATACATGAACTTTGGATAGTAATGATCATCACATTCCAACATGGTTAATTAAAAATTTTTTTTTAGAAACAAAAATTTCCATATGGCAGGACAAGTAGAAGATTGCTTTAAATTGAAGAATCTGATCTTTCAATTAATAAAGGGCATGGAACCCCACATAATCATATTTTTGCTTGCTTTATTCAAAAAGGAAAAAAGACTTTTTTGGTCACATTCTTCCTTTTCTTACTTTTGCCTGAATGAAACAATAGTGTTTTTTTTTTCTTTTTTTTAAATAATGTACAATCATATAGTTCTGCATTACCTCTAAGTTAGGTTTAATTTTTGGAAACTATCATTTGGTGCCAAATAGTGGTAAATAAAAAGAAAACAATGAAATAACTGTCAAAGATGTGATATTCCTCGGTAGTTTAGACAAAGTTGTATTTGTTTGCTCCTCTAAACGGGATTAGCTAAACCTTCAACATGGCCAAAGAAAACCTCTATACTTATTTATTTTGTGGTACTGGGGACTGAACTCAGGGATACTCTATCATTAAGCGACATTCCCAGCTCCCCCTCCTTTTTATTTTGGTCCCGGAAATTGAACTCAGGGGCACAAGATCACTGAGCCACATCCCCAACCCTATTTTGTATTTTATGTTGAGACAAGGTCTCACTGAGATGCTCTTAGTGCCTAGCTTTTGCTGAGGCTGGTTTTGAACTCATGATCCTCCTGCCTCAGACTCCCAATCCCCTGGGATTACAGGCCTGTGCCACTGTGTTTTGCCCTTTTTTCGAGGCAGGGTCTTGCTAAATTGCCTAGGCTGGCCTCAAACTTGTCAACCTCCTGTTTCAGCCTCACTGGGATCCCAGGTGTGCGCCACCAAGCCTGGTTCTATACTTACTTTTATTCCTTTCTTAAGTTCAGTTTTTTTGTAGGCTTTCCTACCTACAAAAATAGCATTGTATCTGGAAAACTGATAATGGCTAAACCTTTACATAATTTATATAAAGACATATTTATTCATCAAGACAGCTATCCTCACTTTAACAGGCCAAGACATTGAGGCTCCTAAGAGAAAGGTATCCAGGATCACATATGCAAATACTGTAAAATGCTTAAAAAGGTACTAGCACAGGGTAAGCATTCAGTAAATGTTAGCTAGGCTTCTTTAAATAAAGCCTTGCTCTTTCTACCCCACCAAATCCCATTTATGGCCAAGTTGGATCACTTTCTCCAAAAGCTGTGCTACAATGAGTTTGAGCAAAGCTCCATACATGCAGTGGAAATACTTCTGGTGATAAAGTTCTCATTTAAATCCTAGTTTGTTTATCACTAGTCACTACCAAATACAGTTCCCTGAGTAGATAGGAGTAACCTGATGTCTATTTCCTTGACTTTAAGATGAGCTTTATAGTATCTTCGAAATAAGAAAGTTTCTTAAAATCAGGTTCAATAAAATACTGTTTTTACTGTCTCTTGTGCTGGATGTTTTATATAAATCTTAGCATAACATATTCTGAACGCCTACCTCTTATTAAGCATCTACCTCTTATTATACCGATTTTTAAAAGCAGGGAAGTCAAGACAGATGTTAAGTCATTTGATCCAGGTTATACAGCTAGTGAATGATGGACAAGACAAGATCAACTCCAAAGCAAGCAGTATCCTTAGACCTAATTTCAGTTGACTTAGCCCATTCTATTTTGTGTCCATCATAACCTCCCAATCAAATTAAAAAAAGCTAACTTTCAAACGGAGAAACAAGAAATAATCACCAAAACAAACACAAACGGAACCTCTGCAAGATGAAGTAATTTAGACCAGAATCGCACAGCCGATGGGCCTCAACTTCAAGGCGAAATCTACTTTCACCAAGCTCTGCTACCACTGACAAATGATAATGTGCAGTTATCAATATTTGTTGAATTAATAATGTCTGCAAACAAAGTTGACAATAAGGAAGAGGGTAAAAGTAGAAAAGGCACATAAAAACCGCAAAGTTGTTCATGGGCAAAAAAAAAAAAAAAAAAAAGACAAAAATCCCCAAGTTTTCGAGGCAATACGTTCATGGTGAGCCGAGGCGCTGGTACAAGCCCACCTGGACAGTCTCTAGCGCGGCCGCTTCCCTTCTTCGCCCCCTCGCTCACGCCCTTCTGACCGCTAATCTCCTGGCCTCCTAACACCCAACAACTACAGGCCAGCAGCCCCCTTACTCGGCTGCTGGCTTAAAAAGAAACTCAAGCACCTGCCCCCAGGCGGTCAGCGGTCGGCGGCAGCCACGCGCCAGGGGACGCAATCTCCTTAGGGGTCGCAACTGGACCCTCGAGATAGCGCGGACCACCTACAGCATGGACTCAGGCAGGCCTCAGGCGTGGGTTGGGGACGTGCGGAGGCCCCATGGGCCGCGCTGGCGAGCGGCGGGAGTCCGCCGCTAGGCATTTCCTCTTCCTCTACGCGCGGCGCGGCGCGGCAAGGCGGAGGCCAGGCCAAGGCCGAGTTCGGACGCCCGACCGTGGCCTGCAGGCGAGCACGGGGCAGCGCCG